GAGCACCTCAGAGGTGCTGTCTGGGCTCTCCACTGCCTCGTATCCCACTGACTTGGACTTTCAGAGCCATGCACTTATAGCAATCGCAGGCTCCAACTGCTATGTAGATGCGTGTGGTGATGCGTAGTGTTCAGCCCTTTAATCGATCCACTGCTGGCTGAAGGCCGATCCCCGTGGCGTATTGGTCAAAGAGGTCGTTGAGTCGTGCTTCGCCATGTACGCCGGTCAGTGCGGACTGGTGAAGGGGGCAGGGGACCAGTGCCGGATTAAGCTAGTGCGGGGCCTGTAGCAAATGTTGATATAAAGGGGCCCTAATGTTTGTTTTTTTAAACACATAAACATTAAAACATACATTTATAACTTGCATAGTAAAGTAATTGTATTTTTTCATTTGCTATACAGCCAGATAATACGACAAATTGCTAACCTAAAACACCCAGCCGTTCGGAAAAGTTGAAGGCGGTATCGTACTATAGTAATCGAGCAAGTGCAGAATCACTGACCCGGATTGATAGCTTGAAAGCATTTAGCGCGGGGCCCTTGAAAGTGCGGGGACCGTAGCTACTACATATGTAGCTACTTTTGCTACTGGGATAATCCGGCACTGCAGGGGACAGTGGCTAGGAATCAGAGGTGTGGACTCGAGTCATGTGACTTGGACTCGAGTCAGACTCGAGTCATGAATTTGATGACTTCAGACTCGACTTGGACTTGCATAACAATGACTTTGTCCCACCTCTGAGGTGTGGACTCGAGTCATGTGACTTGGACTCGAGTCAGACTCGAGTCATGAATTTGATGACTTCAGACTCGACTTGGACTTGCATAACAATGACTTTGTCCCACCTCTGAGGTGTGGACTCGAGTCATGTGACTTGGACTCGAGTCAGACTCGAGTCATGAATTTGATGACTTCAGACTCGACTTGGACTTGCATAACAATGACTTTGTCCCACCTCTGCTAGGAATACAACTCAGGGCCCCAGGTTAATGGTGCAGTGCGCTTACCACTTCACCATAATTCTTAGGTTTTTTCCTAAGAATTTTCTTTTCTTTTTTTCTTTTCTATCATGTGTATCAGGCCTCCCCCTCCCCCTTCTCTGTCCAAGACGTTGGCGTGTGCAGCAGTTTGTCGCTTGCGCACAATCGCTTCCACGCCGTCGCCCACCCTTTTGGCCCCGCCCCCCTCCCTCCCGATACGTTCCATTCATTGGCTACCACATTCTGATGAGCCCCCTCCTCCCCCCTCAACTCGCTTTTAAGGGATTACATATTGAACCATTGCCTCACTTGATGCAGCTAATCTGGCTGTGACGGTCCCACCTGATGACGGAGACTTGTGTTGCCTCCGAAACGTCGTGATCTTTATTTTATTTTATTTTTATTAATTTTGATGTTTTACCTACGTGACTTTACCGAAAAAACCTAAGAATATGAATCCTTGCAGTCACGAAAGCTTCAAATCTAGACTTCACCATAAGTAATCCAAATTTATATTTAAAATTAGTTGTATGTGCTTTATTTATTGTAGGCTTATATATAACTTTGTATCCCGCACAGATTTGGATCTCTTACAAAAATAGATACTTGGTCACAATAGCTGTGATGGGTTTATACGTACGCAACAAAATCCCCCATGAACGCTGTGTACTGCGTGTGTGTGTGTGGATGGGGTTGTGCGTGGGATTGCAAAAAAAACAAACGAGCGTCCACAATGTATTACATCCCAAGCGATGGGGATTACGGCCATAACAACCAGAAACTATGCGAGAGAGAGAAAAAAACTACAACTGCTTCGTATAAATATGTCTGTGTCCTTGCGTGGGGAGGGAGGGGGGGGAATTCATTACGTTGCCAAAGACAATACAGACACAGGCCAGTTTTAATATCTTGTGATGATTTGCACACACGGGGAATTAGGACCACAGTGCGCGATTATAGCTCGAGTTATTACACTGTGTCACAATTTTTTTTGGTCCTGGGTAGTAAGTGTTATTTCCAAATTGCGTATGCCTCAAAAGTACAGAAAATGTCTATTAAACCCCACAAACTTTGCTTTTGTGACCAGGACAGTGATGTTTTGAAATGTACCTTTTTTCAATGAGAAAACGGGCGAATTTGTGTCTTTTCGTTCACATAAAGTCAGAAAAAAACAACACAATAATCCAAATTAACACGTATTTATACTAAAGTAATACAAAAAATTACTACAAAAGATTAGACACCAAGGCGCACTACCACAGGCGGGACCGAGTTCTTTGTGGGGAGGAACAATCTAAAAAAACTATTTACTTCTAAATCTTTTAACGTCATTTTTTTATTACTTTAGTATAAATGTGTAAATTTGTATTCATTTGTTGTTTTTCTCTGACTTTATGTGAACAAAAAGACACAAATTCGCCCGTTTCCTCATTGAAAATAGGCAAATTTCAGAATATCACTGTCCTGGTCACAAAAGCAAAGTTTGTGGGGAATAATATCCATTGTCTGTACTTTTGAGGCACAAGCATTTACGAAATAACACTTACTACCCAGGAACAAAAAAATGTGTTACATCGTGTTATCGGAGTTTGGGTTGCGATCGTATCGAGTCGACTCTTTGTCTGCCAGCTTGGATTTCGAGCTGTCAAAACCCGAGGCTGTCGTTGAAGGTATCCTCCGTCTGACACCTTTGCCATTGACCCCGGCGTTCCACAAGGCCCCCCACCACCACCGCCACCCGCGTTGTCTCAGTCACAGTTTGTTCTTTTTGTTACACCGTGGGGGTATGGGTTGGGAATGGTCGAGAGAGTCTCAGTGGTCAGCACGATATCATAAGAATGGGACTATACCCCCCCCCCCCCACACTTCTACCCTTCCATCGCTACGGGCATTGGAGGAGAGGGGGGCCCGGGTGAGTCATGACCCACGCCGGGTGCATTCTTGTGCCCTCAGGGCCGTCATGGAAACGGCCGAGACTGTCTCACTTCCCACCGACTTCAAACAAATCTGCGGGAGGTTGTCAGTGGCCACCGGGCGTCCTCCCTCCGTCTTCCCCTTTCCGCAAGCGCGAACTCTCACCCCCCACCACCCACCCCGTCTCCTTCGCGAGTCAGATTCTGCGCTCGTTGTGTCCGCGTTTTTTTTGCGAAATTTGCGAAATCGTGCGCGCACGTTGACTTTGGAAGCGCCGCGGTGGCGAGATGTTAACTCCCTCGCCTGGTGTGCAGGAAGTCGTGGGTTTGATCAGGATCCTGGCTCCTGAATATTTGGAGTTTGCATGTTCTCCCCGTGGTCCGGTGGATTTTCCCCTCCGTATTTAGAAACATGCCTTGAGAGTATTTGGCTGCTACACATTTCCACGCAAGAAGCCAATTCGTGCAGCTATCATTTGTGATGACCAGGTCGCTTGTGATAAAAACTTGGAATATAGCTCGGTGGGATTTCCCTGGTAAAATTAGAAAGTGTTTAGTTTTTGAGCCGGTGTCACTGCTCCCACGACGACAGGCAGACGAGGCGCGCACGCTGTGTAACACGCGCGTAGTGTGAACGAGAGCGACGTGACGGGTGTTTCGGGAATTGTCGAGGCGGTCGTGCATTGGCTTCTTCTGTCTGTCCGTCGAGGCGCAGGTGGCAAGCCGACTTTGCACATCATCCCCACGTGGTCGTTAAATGAGTACCACTTCGTGGGATATCAATGGTCATTCTATTCATACGGGTCCCCTGTCATGGAAATGTGGAATTCCCAATCGGGCCACCGATGTAGATGAATGCTGCCCCTCCCGTGGCTGCCCCTGTCGTGACGAGTGCTGGAAATGGTCGCGGGTTGTCCACGCGCTCGAATCCGCTGCTGGTAAAAGAAGTCCACCACCACCAACTCCACCACCACCAACTCCACCACCACTCCCTCCCCACGTTGACCCCCACGTCATCTCTCGTCCTGTGCGGTAGCGTGAGGTTTGACTGCCGCTCCTACACTGATCGAATCACTCTATCAGCCCCCCCCCCCCCCCACCATGCCACCACCACCCCCAGTTGATTGCACCCCCAGGGCATGTGCTCCCATGGGTCGAGTCCCTTCCTAGTTGTGGGCGTCTGATTGCCTTCCCATCAAGGAGTTGTAATGAGAAACGACTGCATTACGTCATTGACTAAAGCTGGGTTATGGTTGATATTGAATCCATTAATTGTTACAATAGGCATAGACGCAGTGTATTGCATTCTTGTATATGTATCAAAACGTGGTTGCTCAAAGATCTCCTAGGGTTTGTGTAGAGTTGGCAGACTATATGGATCGAAGGAAGTCACCATATTGAGATTAGGCTTCTTTATTTAATTATAAGCCGCAATTCAATGGAAACTCTTCTCGGTTGCTTAATTCGGTCCAATGATATTTTAATCATCTGAAGCAGATAATGTATACAACTTTAGATTTTACTTGCAGTACATAATGCAATGAGAAAGAAAGTGTAACAAAAGCTTAAAAGTGTGCACAGAAGCGTGGAGAGATGCGCACTCAAAATAATGACATTGCGTCGCAGAGAGAACACACGACCACGTGGATAAGAGATCATCAGCAAGTTCGATGCTTCGCTTCGACTCTTCGGCAGGACGACACTTCGCTGGAAGGGACGCTGCTAGTCGAGACTAATAACAGGGGCAGCCAAGTGAGCGACAGCATTCATCTACATTGGTGGCCGTAATGGGAATTCCACATTCCCATGGCGGGGGACCTGTATCAATAAGACTACTATTCATACCCCACGAAGTGGTACTCATTTAACAACCACGTTAGGATGATGTGCAGTTTCGGCTCGCTACGTCCCCCCCCCCCCCCCCTTCGTTATGGACGGACAGATAACGAAACTAATGCACAACCGCTTTCAACATTAGTTTGGAATGCGTACAAAATATACGAATTCTCCACGAAATGCACCGAGAAGCGAGCCGGGCATGTGACGTGGAGGGACGCCTAAGATGTGGACGCGCCGGCTATAAATAAAACGTTAACACGTGCTCACTGCGGTGCCCTCTTTTTTTGAGTTTCCTCTCATCTCCAGTGACCGCGGCCGCCTCACGAGGAGTTGTTTGGATTTTCCAGAGCCGCTGAAGTGTTTCTGTGAGATGGGGGAATTGGCGGAGAAGGGCTGGGTGGGAGGGTGGGTGGGTGGGCGGAAGGTTTTGGCAAAAGATTAGTAGGGTGGCCAGACTGGAAAGTGCTCTGTGTAGTCTGTATTGGCCGTCTGTTAGCCACCAAAGCAGCTGCCATCTGATGGGCCGTGACCTCGCTGCCCCGTGTGAGTGGGTTAGGGGGTTGAGTGGTGGTGGTGGTGGCATGGACGTTTGAGAACTTTCCCAATCGTGACATGTGCGACTGTGTTTATAGCAAGGGGCTCGTAAAGTCGCTGTATATGCAGAACGCTGGAAGTCAACACTCGTCTATACATAACCATTAACTTGTATCTTTAAAACCTTTAATAGTGCTGTTTGTTTCTGGCCGCTTGTTATTTTGGCCACGGTGATTTTGTTTTAAATCAGCATGTGCATCCAGTCGTTTTTTTTAATCCTTTATATTAAGTTCGCTTGCTTGCTTAGGACCGTGCAAATCTTTCGGTCGTTTTTTAACCCACTTCCCGTGATCCAATCGAGCTGACATTTTCCACACAGACTCGTTGTACGTGACAATTAATGTTCGTGAAAATTTTTTTCCAAAATTTTACACTTTTTAGGACAAAAATATTATATTTAATTACCAATTGCTTAATGGTGCAATGCAATCATCTGACCCATAGGTGGCAGCCATCTCAAGCCAGAGGACGAGAGGACTCTAGCCGCCACGCATATAAAGGATTTATAGTGAAAAACTTTGTTTTTACGGGTTAATTTTTTATTCTTCATATAAGCAGCAGAGTCCGATGTGTTGGTGGAGCAGAGGCAGATCATCCCGGCGACCTGAGTTCGATACCCCACCACGGCTACCATGAGACATGAGTGCCGAATAATTCCTGAGCTGGTCCTGCCCCCATCGTGACCACTGGTCAGCGTGGTGAAGTATGGTCAAACAATCCCCCATCACCGTCCCAGAATTGTAGAGGTCCTCATCCAGCAGTGGATTGAGAAAGAGCTGTACATTACACTGTTACATCACAGTTGTAGTATAACACACCCATTACAAATACACGATTGTGATTGGTGTAAATCCTAATGGTGTTCTGGAAGGACTACAAAGTTTAACATTTTCACAGTCAGCGCGTCTAATTATAAACAATCCTACATCCAACACTTTAGATTTTGGTCTCGTTGAAATTACGGCCCGGAGGTTGATTGGTTTCACTCATAGGGCAGGGTCAGCCTAAAGTTCACCATCGTCTTTACGGCTGGTGTTCAGCACTTCCGAATAACGTGATCCCAATCACTAGTGAACCAAGTCATCCCTCCCCCCGTGGAGTGTGCTGGTAAAGTTGGTGGAAGCAAAGCTTTAAAATTAATAAATATATGCACACAAGTCAGGTTTTTTTTCATATACTTTAAGTTGCGTACTACAATGCACAATCGATCACGTGGCCATTATGCTTTTCATTAAATGTGTTCATTTTATTCTCAGATGACGTCACTGTGATTGGACATTCAGAAGCGTAACATTGAGTGTCACTGCTAACATTATTTAATTACATGCTAATTATCGATAATTGACCATCGCGTGCCAAGCAGTAATTATAGCTCCTGAATATATATGCTTACTCAAGAAATGTACGGTATCGTGTAGATCCAGCAATGTGGAAGCTACGTGGCAGGGATATGAGTGTTGTATGTGTGCAATGCATATGAATAGATGTATTATATGTATGCATGTGTATAACAATGCATGACATGGCCTGACTCAAATTTTCATTATGAAACGTAATATTGGTTTGCTAAATCTACATGTTAAAGGGCATGTGTGTATATGCCTGTGAAAGTGAACATGTATATATTATATTCGTATGGGATACAGGAATGCATTTAAATATGCATGTAAATGTACCTATATGTGTTATATGTATACGTGAGCTGTGTCACATTTACATATGTAAGCAGCTATGCATGTGCATGGGTGTGTTAGGCACATCATATATACGTGTACGCATTCGTGCATTATGCACACATTATGTACTACATACTCCCATATGTATCATTGTACATCTGCTTGTACGTGAGTGCACATGCGTGCACGTACACATGCAACGTATGGGCCATGCACATTACAAACGCATGCATCGCTCGCTCAGTGTGCACGCGTGCCCGTGTCTCAGTCGTGCACGGCTCACGCCGCACTGCATACTAAGCAGAGGGCCGGACCAGCAATCCCACCAGCCACCCGGGTTCCTTGCAGCACCCTCCCCTCCTGATCCCCTCTCCCAGTTCTCTCGGGTTTCCCACCTCCTTCTGCGTCTCCTCTCCCAGCTCTCCTGCTGCCAAATCCCCGATCGTCGGCTGCCCTTCACAGGTCTCTCTCTCTCACCCCAGCCCACCCAACCACCCACCCACCCCGCGTCCCCCAGGTCTCACCCCCACTCCTATTCCGTGTCTTCCCCGGGGAAAACATCACGCATCACGCCGGGAGAATCCCTCCATACCCGCCCACATCCATACGTATGGCCGTGTGATCGATATGATATGCATTACGTTGTGTGCGTGTGTCTGTATCGCATGTGCACTATAGTGTGCATGCGTATACATGCATATATGTAATGGTGTATGCATGTATTGCACGCACGTATTTGAGTGTACATTTTCACGCATGTGCGTGTTTCCACACATACAATACGTCGCATGCATAGCCTAGCCATAGCAGTGACACGGTCAGCATTTGACCACAGCATTCGCACGGCCAACGGCTGCTATTAAGACTCACAACCCTGTGTGTATGAGTCGATAGCTGCATGAGGGCGTGTGTATGCATGCGCGTGTTTGATCAGTACGTCTCCCAAATTATGCGATGTTCAACCCATGCAAACTGAAAATTCATCACCGGCCATGCAGCGTCCCATTGGCAATTTGCTTCCCTCCCGTAACTAATTTGAGTGAACAAGTATGGACATATAACACCCATGATCGACACATCCAGCAGTGGATCGACTTGTAATTGGGTCTCAATACAACTGCGGTAGTAACTTAAAGCGCCTTTAAGTAATATATATTTCGGGTCACATCGCGGGAGTTTCATGCCAAAGTGTGTCGTACGCCTTCATTCACCCGCAACATCAAATACGCAAATATGAATCATTATCCTGGTCGGGAAAGCCAAACTACGTGTTTAAGCGCCCTCTTAACAGGACTCGTCATGAGGTGTGTGTCTGTGTCTGTGCGCGCTTCGGGCACCACAGCCTGTGCTGGATCACACCTGTGATGTCCGTCTTCCCGTACGTCTGGTGTCGATCACGCACATATGCGCGAGCTGGTTGTTAAACACAAGGATTCCATCATGGCATTCCGCGCGTGTTGCTGCTGCTGCTGCCACCGCTGTTGTTGATATTCCAGGAGGCTCGCTCTCATCAACAAGCGCTCAGCAATGTCGGTGCCCTCGCGTCACGCGCTGCCGAATTGATGCCGACGGGATGGAAAATGAGGAGGAGGCTTTTCAAACAGCGTCCTTGTGTCCGCGAGTCTCGATCAATTAATATTCGCAAGCCTCTCTGGCCGGGGCTTTAGCTCCGGGAAGGGGGCATTGTTTTCGTGGAAATTTGACCTGGCAGGCTCAAGGGTGCGCGCGCGCGTACTAACAGCCCCATTCCAGATGATTATCGATGTGCTTTGAAAAAGAGTCGCTGCCCGAAACGTCACCCATTATACATCCCCCTCCCCGTTTTGCAAGCAGTGAGTTATTGACGAAAATGTAGATTATTATTTTTGGTAATTCGTGATTTGTATTCCTCCCAACATACACCCGCACGGTTTTGCTTTATTGTAAAAAAAATCGCTCGTGCTGTGCGTGAGAATATTAGTACGGTTATTCAGCAGTTTATGGCGTCATTGGATGTTTCACTCGGCTTTCCCGCATGAGCAATCCGATAGAAGGGTGACTCAGGATTGAATCTAGACGGGTATACAGGTCGCTTAATTAAGGGTTTCCGCGATCGTCTAATCACCTATGGTAACAACGTTGGCCTCGACCTGACAATGAACAACAATGCGAGTCTGCAATGATACAGCAGCTAATTACGCGCGCCCTTAACCGATATACAATTCACCCCGAATGCCCGCGCCCCGCGTGCACAAACGCGCACCCCCAAGACCCCCCCCCCCCCCCCGTCTCTCGCTGTAACAACGCCTCATTGCCTCCACATGCATCACACACACACACGGCAAACGTGTCCTTAAACACACACGCATTCTATTGCATTCTCCTCTCCCGTACTAAGTCGCTCCGATGCAGCCAGCACTTACCGCAATGGTGTGCGTCCCTATCCTTCGGTTTGCAGCAATTATCAATTATATGCTTCTCCTCCCTGCGAAGAGAGATGTCCTCCCTGCTGTACGGCCACCACCACCACGACCACCACCACCACGGCCGCACGCGCGCACGCAACCGCGAGGCATTTGCCCGTGTGCTCACACTCGCTGGCCGAGCGCCCTGTGGCTGACTGAGCAGCAGCAGCACCCGTGCCGGAATGTACCACTGCTGTGCCCCGCGCGTGTGCGTGTGTCAAGGGTGTGATGAGGCAGGGTGCCGGGATAACAACCTCTCCGTGTATGAACTTAGGCACAATTTGACGCTGCGGGGGTGGGGTGGGGGGGCTGATCTCAATTTAACGCGTGGACATTCGTCATCGTGCGCGTTGCAACGGTGCGCGCTGGATCCAATTTGAGTTCCATCTCTCACGTGAACGCTTCCACGTCGACGCGTCCCCGGCACCCCTCCGTGAATTGTGTGGTTCCACAATGGCTCACTCCACTCCGGGGCAAAGAAACGCTTGCTGGTTTTAAGCAAGTTGTGCTGATGCTGCATAGTTGCCACGCACGGTGATGATGATCAAACAGCTGCTGCAATCGCACAAATATTGCACAGGATGCGTTGGCCTTAAAGGAAACTGACAGGAACATCATTTTTGCGCAGTTGTTAAATATGAAACCCAGGAACCGTTTTGGGGTTCGACCTCGTTCCTTGAGCACGCAGGCATCGTGGTTTCGGGCGAGAGATCAAATGGAACGTTGTAATATATTTTTAATTAACTTGCGACATGTGAGCGCTTGGCACAATAGAAACCTCGGCATTCACCATTTTGCTTGCAATATTCATTGCATCGGCAGCTCAGCAAATGCTGAGTATTTGGCTGCTATAAATATCCACGTGACAAAGTCACCTCGTTGAGCTATCATTTGTGGTCAAGGCACTTCTGAAAAAGAGCTATGCAGCTCAGTGGGCCTTACCTGGTAAAATAGTGTTTAGTTTCTTTTAAGTGTAAGACTGCTCGAGGAAAGCCAGAAGCATTGTGCCTCCATATGTTTAATAATAACAATAATTTATGTTCACTCGCTCTCGAAGTGAGAAGGGGACGACTCAGAGGCACAAGGAACAACAACCACGCGGTCAGCCGGTGCCAACAATTACCCAAGATGTCCCCTGTCCTATTATCGGCAAATTAATGAGTGTTGATATGAAGGTGGAAATTGGAGCATCCGGAGAAACCCGAAGCGTGCGAGGGGAGGCGAAATTCCATCTAAAACAGACGGAACAGGCGAGGTCCACACTTGCTGTGCTGCCTTCTCCTGGCAAGCCAGGGTTATGGCACCTCGACGCCCACGGGAAGGAAGATTCGCGACATTTGCGTGATCCACCAATCCTCGCTTCCTGGATTACAGGCGTGCATAGCCACCACCGCTCGGGTGCTGGGCAATTGCATTTGATGCGTCTGCTGCCATGAAATATTCCTTGTAAAATGTAAAAAAAAAATCCCTTAACGTGAACAATAGCCGATTCTGCTAACGTCGTTCATCATCGGGGCGTGTTCAGTATTTGAATGGCCACGAATTATTCATTCACTTACTCGAGAGGGACTCGCTCGAGCTGCTTCAAATGAAGGCCCTTCTGCCGGCAGTGGCAGAGCAGGCAATTGCAGGGCTGCGCCTTCACCTCGACCTTACTTTCGAGGATTTGCTAAAACAAAAAATAATCGCGCGTGCCTTTATTTCTCAAATGAAATGTATTTGTAGAGTATTATTGAAGAACTTCGCCAACAAGGCTGCGAAGTTTGACTCAAGATACTTATGAGCAAAAACTAAAGAAGTGCGCAACAACGGTATTGCTAAATAACATCCAATAATTGCTGTAAGGACGCAACTTTAAGGATCGGGATCTAACGGGTGGAATGTGAGTGCAGGACGGAGCTCTTTTGGAAAACTGAATTTGATCGTGTAAATGTGCCTGAAAAATGTTTTCAATGAGTACCTCGTTCCAGCCATGACGTGGATCAGACACACGCATACTTCAAAATGGAGCTGAAAAGAATGCATCTCGTTTACATGGATCAATGAGCAAGCGCAAACTCGGGAGAGGTTTTACCCAACTGGGATTACACACCATTACCCTATTCTTGGTTCTTTCGGTAAAGTCACGTAGAATGGAAATAATAAAATAATAAAAATACAACAATTAAATAATTCTCACCTTTTTTGTATATCTTGATTTGAATAAATTGTCTCTGTGTTTATGTAGCTGGTTCAGCAGTTCCACTGCTGGATTATATATTTTTCCGCCCGAGGACGACCGCTTGTGTTGCGATCGAAACGTCGTGATTTATTCTTTTTGGTTTTATTTTACTTTTCTACCTACGTGACTTCACCGAAACAACCAAGAAGAGTCCGGGGTTTGTACATGTACACGTCGAGTCTAATGGCCATCACAGACGTGCAGATGAAACTATATCGATGCCGCCCTGAAGCTTGCTTGGCATCTTCATGGCTACCGAGGAAATCGACGCCAGAGTGCCCCTCGGCAGATGTCAGCCGGTGACGGTGACGGCCACGCGCAGCTGAAGTGGAAAGGGGATTTGGGAAGGGGCAGCTGCTGCTACTGCTGCTCTTTCACTCCCCCACCTCCTTCCCCACCAGCCCACGCCACGCACAATCCCATCGCGTCGCACCGCCCCCCTCCCCCCCCGTGCCCCCTGTCATTTGCACTGCCCGGGTCATTTGCGCTTCGCAACCAAAACGAATCATACCGGTACATCCCATGCGTGGCCACGTGCGTGACGGGATACAGATAAAGGCCACGGGGTTAGAGGGTGAGCCGACTTCCTGTGGCGGGAGGTGCGGGAGCGTGTGGAAGACGAGTAATGTGAGCCACGGTGCAGGAAGCATGTCCTGCTCACGATGAGATTAGCACGGTTGGCTACGTACGGTGCGAAAGAAGTCCAACATACATACGTGTGAGAGGTCTTGCTTACTCGCTCACTCATTCATCCGACCGCTCATTCACACACTCACTCATCCAACAAGGTTACTCACCCACCAACCAAATCATTTACTCAACCACTCTTACTTATCCACTCATCCAACTATTTACTAATCTAATCACTCACCCACCTACTTGCTTACGCACCCCATTTACTCACTGAACCACACACTCACTCACACACCCACACACCGACCTCACTCATTCACCCACCCTTAAACTTAAGTCACTCTTCAATTTGAGGCTATCTTGGTCTCTTGAGTTATTATCTGGTTAAATAAATAAACTTGACCAACTCACCCACCAACTCACTCATTTACACGTCACACATCCACCTCACTTATTTACTCACCAACTCACCTAAATGACAAACTCACTCATCCATCTACTCACTAATTCACCCACTCGCTCACCCGCTTGTTTACACACTATCTCACCTTCGCAGCCTTCATGAGAAGTCACTTAACCAATAAAAATACACCTAGTAATAACTAGTAATAATAAACCTATTATTTACACTATGAGACCTCCTTTACCAGTGGCAAAATATAGTAATAGGTTGAAAGGGTAAAAACCTATTACTATTACAATAAACCTAATAATTAATAATTAACCTATTCACTCATCCACTCACTTGCTAATCCACTCACCCACTCAGCCACCTACTTACACACTCCATTCACTCACTGACCCCACTCACTCGCTGAACCACACTTACCCACCCACCAACACACTAATCTTACTCACTCAGCCACTCACTCATCCACCCACGTACTCACCGACGCATCCACCCCAATCATTTACTCATGTACTCTGTCAACGACCACTCAATCATTCATCCCACTCACCCTTCCACCCACCCAAACTCACGCATCCTCTCCCTGCCTGCAGCTGTGGAGATACGCTAGTGGCGTGCTGTGTGAGTAATGCTCCATAATTAGACACGGGGATAATGAGGTAATCCTCTGGTATACACATTCCAATCCTGAGCTCGCTTCTCGAGGGAATCGCCTGGGTTGTTTGTGTGTGTGTGTCAACCTTGAGCAGCATGTGTTCATGTCAACGTGTTGTTGCGTGTACAGTACACGCTGGTGTCGGCATGCCCTATGGAAGGAGTGATTTAAAAAATCTTGAATAAAAATTGCTTTGCACGAGTGCCATCACATATGTTGTGTGCAGTGCCGCTCTTTGTCCGCCAGGCGACGCGTCCACTCGTAACGAGTTGCTCGGTTTAAAAACAAATCTAGTTCACAATGTTTTGAACCTTGGTTAAACATCATACATGGATCGTACCAGATATCATCATCAAGACCCGGGCAGCATCCAGGTGGAAAAATAAAATCTGCCGCTTGATGTGGCTTTTCTGAAGACATGTCAATATCTCATAAGGTACATTCAGAGAGCCGCATTCAACACAGTTGTCTTAAACGTTTACGAACCATACCACAACACCATGGTGAACACACGTATATACATACATAACTCAAATGAATCATGAGCGTCGTTGTGAAGAATATAAATAGGCAGACAATATAGGAATCGTGTTGTTAAAAGGAAAGGGTTCCTTGCCTGGAAGATCATTAGTTCACCAACATTGATAATGGGTTTTTTACCCTTCTATCTGGCAACAAAACTGACACCTTTTTACAAGGAGTCATGTTTGCATAGACCGCAATACCTGCAGTCATAATACAAACAAAAGAACATAACTCTGATAATGTGCACTGTCCTTGAAGTTGATTGGTCCACACCCGAGACAGCTTTCCTTAGAGCCGAGTCTCACATGGGTTGGACCAGATGACGCCAAAAGGCGCACACCAACATTGATTTCGAGCAAACTGCTGATGAGACACTGTTTGTCGAAACCGCTCCAGAGTGTTGTTTGTCTTGAATCAATTCTTGCCGAACGCACCCCCCCCCCCCACCCCGAAGGCCGTGCTGCTGATGAGTTCTGTAAGAACTACTTTTACATGAATACAATCACGTGGCGTGCCCTTTGGTGAGTTGTTACATTTTGTTTTCAGCTAGCAGAACGTTTTGGAGACTGTCACATAAAGATAAAGCACGTGCGGAGGAAACCCCTCCCACCACCCTACCCCCGACGCGAGTTTTTATCACCATTCACATAATAATCGGACAAAACCCAGCGATGATGGGACCACGCTGCCCTGAACGTACCTAAAACGTTGGCTAAATGCATTGGCGTGATCACCCACCCGAAGCAGAGGAGAAATCGTCCATGGCAAAAA